GACATTTTGATAAAGGCCATTCTTACTGAAGATAAGTGATATCTCATTGTGGTTTTGATTTGCAAAGCTGTGGAACCCAAGTGCCCATCAATACACGAGTGGATTAATAAAATGTGCTATATGTATACCATGGAGTACTATTCAGCTATAAGAAACAATGATGATATAGCACATCTTATATTTTCCTGGATAGAGCTGGAACCCATACTACTAAGTGAAGTATCCCAAGAATGGAAAAACAAGCATCACATGTACTCACCAGCAAATTGGTATTAACTGATCAGCACCTCAGTGGACACATAGGAATTACATTTATTGGGTATAGGGCATGTGGGGGGTGGTGGTGGAGGGGATGGGTATATACATACATAATGAGTGAGATGTGCACTGTCTGGGGGATGGTCACACTTGAAGCTCTGACTTGAGAGGGGAGGGGGGCAAGGGCATTATACGCAACCTTAAAATTTGTACCCCTATAATATGCTGAAATTAAAAAAAAATTCCATGTGCATATAAGAGCTCCCTCTCTGAAAGCCCACGGGGTTGGGGGTGTGTGTGGGGTAAACCACAGTGCAGATTCAAGCTAATGGTATAATAATTACCCATAGGTTACTCTGGGTCACTTTCTAAATCCTATCATGCCTGGGCTGGGGAATTCCAAGATCGATAAAACATTACCTCCTTCCCCAGGTTTAGTAGTTGCTCAGGTAGGATTAAGGGAGGGGCAACACCAAAATGGAGTGCCCATCCTTATCCTTCTTCCCAGGTGGAGCAATTGCTCCAGAGAGCACCAAGGCAGGGAACCCTTCTCCCTAGAAGAGCGGAGATCCTAACTGTCTACCTCACAAATCCATGCCATGGAATACTATTCAGCAAAAAGGAACAAACTATTGAAACACAGAACAACTTGGATGAACCTTGGGAGAATTATGCTGAGTGAAAAAAGCCAATCCCAAAAAGTTCTAGAGACTATACGATTCCATTCATATAACTTTTCTGAAATGACAAACTTACAGAAATGATAATAGATGACTGTTGCCGGGGAGAAGAGGGAAAGTGGGAGGGTAACAGATGTGGCCATAAAAGAACAACAGGAAGACCCCCTGCAGGGAAGGAACTATTTTGGAACAACACCAGGATCCTGGTTGAGTGTGTTACAGTTTTGCAAGTAACACCACTGGGAGAAACTGGATGAAGGTTTCATGGGGCATCTCTGTATGACTTCTTATAGCTCTACATGAATCTACAATTATCTCAAACTAATAGATTTAATTTTTTACAAAGGCCTTAACTTGTTACTCCACCAGAAGATGGAGTAACATCTTGGACAGGGCTTGCCTTTGAAGATACGCAGTGATGAATTTCTCTTATAATTTCCAAGTTAAAATTAACATTTTAGGTTAACAAATATTTATTGAGTGCTTATTACAATCTAACATAGTGCTGGTTACAACAGTTCAGTGGGATAATGGATGCAAAGTTGTATTCTAGGAAATTGCAATCTGAGGAGAGGGACAGAGATGTGCACAGTAACTATATTCTAAGGCAAGTAATAGCAAGTGCGATGGTTGCAATCAGAAGAAAACATGAAATAGCATGAAGGGGATAGATTGTCTACACTTGCGGGTTACAAATGTCATAGGAATTGGGTATGGTGGAGCATAGACTGTGTGACCTGAACAAGCTTTAAAAGATAGGAAGGATTTCCTTAATTAATTAGATAAATATTTGCATTTTATTATGCTAATTGGCTAATAGATGCTTCTGAGAAAATCTGGATTGTGCTGAAACTCTTGTATGGTGTTTAATATTTGCTGATTTCTATTTACCGTGACAAGTGACATGTGCCATGATGGCAATGTGCTATAAATCCCCTTCTCATTCTTGGAGAAGGAGAGCTGGCAGCCTCTTTTCATGTGCAACTTTCAGAGTAAATTTAGTGTCCAAAAACCATGTTAGTGGCTGTCCTGCGATCAGATATCCAGGTGGTCAATTAGGACAATGAGCCAAGCAGAAAGTAACAATCAAAGCTTTAGTGGCGTACTGCCACGGTCCAAACAAAGGGCATGCAGAGAGGCCTGGCTCCCTGGTGTTTCATTTTTGCCGTGGAATGGGCACAGGGTAGGGGCAGGTGGATGCAGCATAGATGGGGGTGGGGTGGGGTGGGAATCTGATCACTGCTGAGGAGCCCCAAACAAAAGCTTCCTTTCTTTTCATGGACCTGGGGCTCTGGGAGGGAAAGGGGGCAGGGCTGGCCTTGGAAAAGCATCACAGTGGATAAAAGCAGGAGAGGGTCTTCGGTGCCCCCCACTCCAATTAAGGAGACCCTGGATGGAGGAGCCTGGGCGAGGAATGCAGACACGTGTACGAGCAGGTGCAGTCACAGGGGCTGAGGCTTTGACTCTGACTCCCTCCAGAAAACTCTGATGCTCTGGCTGTGGTGTGGGCAGGGCAGTTTCCCCTTCTGAGGCCATCAGACAAAGCCTTGTAATTGCCTGCAGTTGGGCCTGAGAGATCGCAAGGGGGATTTGGGCCAGGAGCTAGAGTCCTCAGTAGTCAGGCAGCGTTTTAACTTCAGAAAAAAATCTCTTTGGGTCTTATAGCTATATCTGTAAGGTGTTAGAGAATCATTCAAGTAGTAGAAAAATACTCTTATTTAATATTTCTAGTACCAAATAGTATGCTTGGTCTGGGCAGGATTAGGAATATTTTCATGATTTTATTTTTTTTAGCAATGTATTAAGTAATTTAGAATCTAATTTGGATAAACAGGTAAGCATTGAATCCTATCAGAAAGTCCAATCTTCCAAACCATCTTGGCAGAATAACGATGGCCATTGGAAGTTTTCGTATCCAGAACACTCAAGGTGCCTCCTGTCCTTTGTTTCAGTTTTGGTGCACCATGGACACCTCTAACACAGGCACTCACTTCCAGTGTGGACAACACAATAATTGCAGGTGATGTGCATTACATTAGTGTTCTTGTTTTCAAGAAAGTGAATTTATAGTGGGAAGCTTATATAAAACTGGTCATAAAAATACTTCTGTACCACCTCCACACAGCCTAATAATCACGCCTAGTTCCAGTTGCTTATTATTAACAGTAGGCACCAGGAACTTAATTTTAGAAATAAGAACTAGATAATACTCAAATGTGGGAATACTGATTTTTTTCCCCTGGTGTATTTCAAGGATCCTCATGTATGTGCTCAATAAATATCTGTTGGAGTGCAGGAAATTCTATGCCCAAATGTGGCACCTTGGTATACTGAGTATTTTAAGCTGAAAGAAATTGAGAAAACCACGGAAGCAGGAAGGTTGCTCCGACTTTCTCCCACCCTCTCTCTCCTGAAGCAGCCCATTAAAACTAGGAATTTTTTTTTCACACTCCTTCCTCTCCTAATAGAAATAGGCAATAGAAAAATAGAACACCCTGGCTCCTTCTTCCCTGAAGCAGACCATAAAACCTAGAAAAGTTACTCTCTGACCTTCTCTCCACTTCCCTGAAGGTCCTCATGTGACAAGTGTCCTGCCCTATACCATGAAGGAAGGACTGTCACACAGAGAGGCCAAGAAGAATATGAACAAACCAGGCTTCCTAAGCTCCCCTCCCAGTCTATTAGTGTGAGCGTTTGCATGAGTGTCCATAAAACTACAGTTTTTCCTGGGTCATCATGTCTTCGTTTCTGAGGGCTCCTGTGTCATGCAGAATTTATATTAGATGATACATTTGTATGCTTTTTCTTGTAAGTCTTTTTGTGGTAGTAGTCTCAGCCATGAACCTTGCGATGGGTAATGAAGAGATATTACATTTTCATCCTATGGTTCAATGAATGAGAAAAAAAAATGGTTCTATAGAATCAATTATATACTTGATATTGAAGGTGAAATGTAGGCTTATCCTCTATCCTCTCTCCTACCAGTTCTGGCTTTGGTCTCTGAACCCTTGTTTGCCCTTCTAAGACAAGACATAATAAATAATCTCTCTTCCACATGTAGTCTTTTATATAATTTAAAATAGTTTTAGTTTATCATGGAAGACATCTCTAATTTCTTAATATGTAAGCTCTGTGGGAATAGTATTGACCTAAATAAATATTGTAGCCAAAATACCTAGTATATAGTAGATGCTGAATAATTTGAAAGATCAATTTTAGATACATACTATATTCCCAATACACAATATATTATATTTTTAATATTTCAAATACTATATTTTCAAATCTCCATCTAAGTAGTTTTTCCCCATATGTTCATATTAATCTTAAAGGAATTGTTATTCTTTTAAAGAAAATTCAAGGAATTGTTATTTTGGTAAATGTACATTAATTGATGAGTCTATAATCATATTAGTCCTTTGACAAACATGTTATATTGTTAGATTAATTATACCTCTCTGTTCACAAGCTGGCTTCTGAATATCCAACCTATTAACAAATACATATGTATAAGTGGAATGTTAAAAGGATATAAAAGTATGTGATTTTGCCATATTTATCCTCAGGGCTCTTTAAGCCAAGTACACATTTGAATGTCTTGGAATATCTTGAATATTCTGGAAAAAAAAGGAAGAGAAAAAAAATTAAATGTGGGTGATGTTTTGGTTGGTGATGTCAATCAAACTTCACAATACCACAAGAAATACTTCTGTCCACATCCCTGTTTGACCATTCTCTTACATTTATGCTTTTTCATTTCTCAGGGTTATTGAGGTTTGAAACATAAAAATACTTAGCTTTTTACCTTTTATTGTACCTGGAATCTGATAGAAACTGCATATACATGTATGTATGTATATATGTCTCTATCTAATATCTATGTATACACATGCATACACACATGTATGTAAAATCCATACACACACATATACACACACAGATATCTCAGAGTGCCTTTCTCCTAATGTATGTGGTTTAAATGAGCTTTAAAATGGAAAGAATGTCCTTTTGGCACATTTGTGCTGAAAATTCTACTTTTTAACTGTTGCTCTCCATGTTCAGTCCTAGGGTCTCTGCGCTGTCAGTCTTCAAAGTGGCTTCAGATCATGCATGACTTTTGACTGCAGAAAACTGGGAAATAAACTCATGGATGAGTACACATGAGAGAGCATGGTAAAAGTCTAATCAATCACTTGTATTTCCATAGTCCTACTTCCAAGCACATAGTAAAGACTAAGAGAGCAGTAATGATAATTAAAGAACCTTTATAATAGGAGGCTTCTTTTTAGTGTTTTGGTCTTTTTGGATTTAGTTTTGTTTTCATTTTTGGATAGTATAGAAATATTGATTTCCTTTCCTTTGCATATATAGCCAGGGATTGCTGGGTCATATACTAGTTTTTAGTTTTTTGAGGAACCTCCATACTGTTTTCCATGATGGGTGTACTAATTTCCCACCAAGGGTGTGTGAGCCTTCTCCTTTCTCTGAATCTTCACCAGTGCTTGTTATTTTTTTTTGCCTTTTTGATACTAGCTATTCTAACAGGGATGAAATGATACCTCAAAGTGGTTTCGACTTGCATTTCCATGATGATTAGAGATGTTGAGCATTTTTTTCCATATACCTGTTGGCCATTTGTATATCTTCTTTTGAAAAATATCTATTATGGTCTTTTTCTCATTTTTCTTTTTCTGAGACAGCTGGAGTACAGTGGCATAGTTCACTGCAACCTCAAACTGCTGGGCTCGAGCAATGCTCTTGCCTCAGTCTCCTAAGTGGTTGAAACTACAGGCACATGCCACCCTGCCCAGCTAATTTTATTTTTTAATTTTTGCAGAGATGGGATCCGACTATGTTGCTCAGGCTGGTCTTGAACTCAAGTGATGCTGCCACCTTGGCCTCCCAAAGTGCTAGGGTCACAAATGTGAGCCACTGTGCCCAGCTTTTTTCCAATGTTTAAATTAGATTATTTGTTTTTTTCCCAATGAAGTGAAGTTGGTAAAAAATCCGGGGAATAAATCCCAAAAGAAGGAAAAGTTGCAAAAAATTTAATAAAATCCGTAGGTTATCTCTTTACTTTGATTTTTTTCTTTGTTGTGTAGAAGCATTTTAGCTTGTTGTAACCTCATTTGTCTAGTTTTGCTTTTGTTGCCTGTGTTTTTGAGGTCTTACCCAAAACATCTTTGCCTCAACCAATGTCCTGTAGCATTGCCTAATGTTTCCTTTTAGCTGTTTCATAGTTTTAGATCTTACATTTAAGTCTTTAATCCATTTTGAGTTGATATTTATATATGGTTAAAGATGGAGATCTCTAGTTGCATTTTTCTACATACAGATATCCGGTTTTCCTAGAACCATTCATTGAAGTGACTGTCCTTTTCATAATCTGTATTCTTGGCATCTTTGTCAACAATCAGTTGGCTAAAGTGTGTGAATTTATTACTGGGTTTTCTATTCTGTTCTCTTGGTCTATGTATCTGTTTTTATTCTAATACAATGCTTTTTTGGTTACTGTAGATTTGTAGTATAATGAAACATCAGGTAGTGAGATACCTCCAGCTTTCTTCTTTTTGCTCAGAATTGCTTTAGCTATTCTGGTGGTCTTTTGTGGTTCCTTGCAAATTTTAGGATTTTTGCCAGGAGTTCATGACTCTCCAACAAATCAGGTCCCAGGCAGGAACGTTGCAAGAGGAACCCTGAAAACATTATACCAAGTGAAAGAAGTTAGTCACAAAAGACCAAATATTATATGATTCCACTTTACATGAAATTCCAGAAAGGCAAATCTATAGAAGCAGAAAATATATCAGGGTAGTGCAAACCTGAGGGAGTTAAAGGGAAATAGGAAATGACTGCTAATGGTACAGGTTTTCTTTTTGGGATGATAAAAATATTCTAAAATCATGGTGATGGCTGCACAACTGTGAACATACTAGAAAAAACCATTGAGTTGTACACCTTAAAAGAATGAACTCTACAGTATGTGCATTATATCTCATTAAATATTTTTTTTAAGTACTAAGATAAGTGGATGATGCAAACAAAGAAGTTAGTGACTTGGGAGATTAGGTTGAGGAATTTTCACAGAAGGCATCAGGAGCATTAGGAATGGATTAAAAGATGGTAATTATAAAAGCTATGATAATAGATTTGAAAGGGTCAATATTCAGGTATAGGAGTCTTAGAAGAAGAGGGTAAAAATTTGCAAGGCAAACCTGGGCATGAGGGGAGTATAGAAATAAGATGATGAGAGTATGCAAAGATACTTGTTTTATATAAAGGTATAGATAGCTCAATAAACTAAGGAGGACAATAAACACAAATATAAGTATTAATAAGTTATCAAGAAAATCACAAGAATTAAAATGAAATGTATAGTTTAACTCTGATATCTCTAAAAGAAAAAAAGAGAAAAATAGAAATAAAAACTAAAGGGTAATAAAAAACATAATATAACATGTCAGAAATAAATCCCAATAAAACAATAATTACAATAAAAAATGTTGACTAGACTCAACAATCAAAAAGCAGAAACTCTTATATTGGTTGCTAAATCAAAAACTGGATCCAGCAATGTATTTATCAGGAGAGATAGATTTAGAATTATTTTAATATAATGAAAAAGGATTGGATACGAAGGATGAACTTAAGTTCAGTTTTAGCTCTCACATGTTTTTTAAAGTCTGTTATTTGATGTCAGGTTTTGTCTCATACTTTGGAAGGACAAATAGCTGACTGCTCACCTCAATATCATTCTGATGCCCATCTTGATTTATATTCATATAAAATTTTCAAACAAGATGAAATATCAGGTTTTACATATCTAAAAGACTGCCTGAGGGAAATGCATTCTTTAATACCAACTTAACAGAACTTATTAGCAATGAAGTCTGGCTTGCATAAAAAGTAGTCTGGTTGCTGGTACCTGCTGAAACATCTCTGCCTCAATAGCTCAGAGATTTTCTTCACAAGTCCAGCTGCACAGCTGTTCTTGTCAGGAAGATGGAGAGTCAATTTTATTTTCTCTGTGTCTACTGACCATCTATATACATTCGTACATTTTATATGCAGTGATCTTAAACATGTATTTTTAAATGTTTAGAAACTTATTTAAAGAGAACACAAAGCCTTTTTGGAATTGCATAAATTATAGTGCATGACCACCTTATCTAAATCTGGATTTAACAGAGACGTGTTTTTAATTTGGTAAAATAACTGCTGGCAATATTAACATTACAAGCTAAACAGCTTGGCATCAGACCCTCTTGCTTTTGTACCAGCCCCAGTGAAAAGTGTGATCTATTTCCAAGTGTTCAGCATCATGCCTGCAGGAGCAGTCTGGCCGTGCTAAGAAATTATTTCTATATCAAAGTATCTAACTTTTCAAATTTGATCACTAAATAAAATTAGATGGAATATCAGACTATCATGTTTATTATTTGATGATAATATTTGACTTTTGCCTCAGTATTGGTCAAATATTAGTTTTTGTATTTGTGTATTCTTTATTTGGTAAAATTATATATTCAGTATATCTCTGTAAATAAATAATGGAAAATACATAGCAGGCAAATATCATCCAAAAGAAAATCTAGGGTAGCAATTATAAAATCAAACTATTAAAATCTTTATACCTGGTAAATATACATTCATTTCAAGCCAACATTATCTAGTTAAAAGAGTGAGCATGTGTAAAGTTGCCAATAAAATATAATTTGACCAAAAAAACCCCATACCATTTTAAAAATCCATAATACAATAAAATTTGAAATAAAAAAGTGTTAATGAAGAAAATACTATATGTCAGGAGACTGAAAAAATATGATAACATTGGGGCCAAAGAAAATGGGAAATCAAAAATGTTGAAATGGAATCATATTGAAAACATTGAATGTCAAATATGAGACAGATAGAACAATATGTAGAGGGAAATGTGTAGTTTAGCTTTGAAAAAATTGAAAGCAAAAGAACCAAATATTTAACCCCAGAAATAAGAAAGTAGCAACCAAGTAAACTCACAAAATAAAACTGAGAAGAATGTTGAACACTTGGAAAATTGGAAATTGGTTTTTCGAACAGAACCGCTAGTTAGGCAACCCTATATCATGACAGATAAAAAAAAAAAAGGTAAATAAAGTACAGAATGTTAAAAGAGAGCTAGTCAGACATAACAAGCTTAAAGGAAACATGCTAAAAATATTGAGAACAATGATAAACTTGTGTATTAGAAAAAATAAAAACATTTATTTCAAAATATATGCCAAAATTTGCACGAGAAGAAATAAACACTTGAATATACCAAAACTGCTAAAAAAGCTAAAATGGTAAGAATGCAATTATAGGGCCAAATCTTATAAGAGATACCCTAAACAAAAAGAGACTTCAGATCTAGACAGTTTTATATGTACCATTTAACATGTAATATCAGCCAAACTTTTCAGCAAAATATCATCCCTATCTTTAATAGATTATTCCAGAAAATAGAAGTGGGAAAGCTCTAAACTTATTGTATAATGCTAGTAAAATTTTGATTCCAAAACCAGTTAAAAACAATGATAGGAGTGTATTGAGCTTAAAGTAACAGAAAAACCAATTTACAATGGTTTAAATACACAGAGATTTATTTTTCCTCATAGGAAAACATCGAGAAGTATGATTTTCTTTTATTCATTCAGCAACTTAATGATGAAATAAGAGACAGATTCGTTTTTATCTTTCCACTCTTGTCCCCAGTGGGTTAACTTTCATCCTTATCTTTATAATCTCATGGCTGCAAGTGGGCTGTTGTTGCTTCACAAATCACAACCACCTTCAAGACAATGAGAAAGGAGAAGGGGAGAGCCAGGCACTTTCCTCTTTTCATCACTAAAACAAGAGCTCTTCCAGAATCCTGCTCTGTTAACGCCTGAGTAAGTCCTATTGGCCAAAATCAGATCACAGGATCACACATAGCTATAATATAAGAAGATTTGGGAAACTAGGGGTATGATTACTTGATTTAGTTTCATCAGCAGTTCTCACAGTGTGATCCGGGAATTCCCCTTTTTAGGGTTTCCGCAAAATCAAAGGAACTTTCATAACAGCACAAAGATGTTATTTGCCTTTTTTAGCTTAGTTTTCCATAAACATACAGTGAAGTTTCCAGAGATTACATGATGTGTGCTAACGTCATTGCCCTGATGGCATTGGAATGTATGCTCATGCATTTTTGTGTTTTAAACATTTCTCAGTTTTCATTTTTAGTATAGTAACTATCAGTAGACTTAGCCCACATATCTAAAGCTCTTGGGGATTGTCAGTGCCTTTTTGGAAATGAGAAAAAGGATTTGAAAACTGCTGGCTTAGATTGATCAAGACTATAATCAATAAAGTTAGAGTATACTTTAAAATAAATAAATTAGTGGGATTGGAATGTTCCTAACACAAAGAAATGATGAATGCGTAAGGTGATTGGTACCACAATTACTCTGATTTGATTAATTCACATTGTATACCTTTATCAAAACATCACACATACCCTATAAACATATATTTAATACAACTATTATGTACCCATAATAATTAAAAAATTTAAAAAAATCTATGAACTACTAAGAAGATTTCTGTACTGAATAATTAGAGTTTTAGTAGCAAAGAAAAAATAAGAGTTTGGTATTGACTAGCAAGCTAATGAAGTCTGACTGGTCCATTTAAGAAAATAAAATTATAGGACTACAATTCTTAAAAATGTATACAATTCCTTTATGAATTATTAGAAAAATGACTATAATATTTTTTTAAAAATTAATATATCATGACCAAGTAGAATTTATTCCTGGAATAGAAAAATGGTCCATTATCAAAAATGTATTAATATAATTTAACACATAAGTGGTTTAAATTATTAAAATCAATTTTATAATAAAAATTATGAGAAATTATGAGCAAAGGGATAAAGAGTATTTCACTGGATAAAGATTATTTACCAAAGTATTTTAAGCAAGCACCAGGCTAAATGTATATTTTTTAAGATCAGGAACAAGATGAGGATATTGTTTATCACTGTAACTATATAATATAATTTTAGCCTGGCTAAAATACACACACACACACACATACATATGCACACATATATAAAATATAAACTGAAAAAATATTTTTTATTTTCAGATGATATGATTATCTACATAGAAATCCCAACAGAATCAAGTTATTAAAGTTAAAACAAGTTTGCCGAACATAAAATAATCTTACAATTATCATTAGCATTTTCCTAATCGATTAGTGAGCAACCAGAAACAATAATCCAGAAGAACAGACACTGACCCATGTAAACTTGGGAACTTAAGACATTTGGTCTCTTGTTCCTAATATGGCTATTAGGAGAAAGCTAATATTTCATTTAGTGAATATTTATGGGTAAACAAATATTACAAAGCTCCAGCCTAGGTGATTGTCATATGAAGTTATCAAAGAGACAAAGGAGCAGCCTAGTAAAATGAGCAACTTGAAGCTAATTTAGCATTAGGAATAGATTCAGATGGAGAATAAAACCGTACACAACAGCATAGAAGGGGTTTTGTGACTTTCAGCACAGATTTGAATTTCCCAGTTACTTCACATGGTGTATGTGCGTGCTGACGGGGTGAGGATGGGTGGACAAACCATCAGTGGGGGAATCCGTCAGTTCCGGGGTCTCGGTCCATACTTTAAAAGTATACTTTCTTCATCATCTCCCAGAATCACTACATCCCTTCAAGCTGATTACTACGAAGAGGTGTGGAGATATGTTCTTTAGAGACAACTCAAGTGTCAAAAATGTCTTATTTTTCATAAGTTTTGTCAGGAAAGAAAATCTGCCAACATCACCTGAGATCTTTGAAAACATAGCATCCATGAAACCATACTCTGAACAACTGTTTGTATTTAAAACAAATTTTGAATTTTGGGAGAAGATGATATGTAGAGGTTTTATATTTGTTAATGTGTTTCGCCCATTTCACTGAGACTATTTTCATGCTTCAGAGAGTAACCTCAGCTGAGAGATGACTGTATCTTCTCCTCAGTATTCTCCAGCCAAATTCATTTTTCTCAAATGTTCTTTTGATGTTAGCTTTAAAACTCCTTCACTGTTTCATAAAACCTTAGCACTAGTGTTGCAAAACATCTTGGACTTGGTTTATCTGAGGTTCCACAGTGTGGGTTATTTGCAATGGGAACTTTAGTCAGTGCCGCATGCTGGTCTTGCTGACTGTGGTTCCCTTGATGCTTTTTCATCAGGCTTCAGAGAAGATTCCGGTGCTCTGGGGCCCTTTGGTGCAACTAGATTAGTGCGACAAGCAGGCCCTGGCTTTGAGCTTGGGGTGTCTTGAAAGCAGGGGATGTGTAGACAGTCGGGCGATGAGCCGGCTGTCTGCCTCCTGTGTGTGTGGGGAAATAGGTTGACATCCAGATTGTTTTAGTTTTCAGGAAAGACTACGGGAGATGCATACTTTTAAACTGCAAAAGCAGTTTCGTGTCAAATATTTTATCAAGCTAATTTATCATTTAGTTTCCAGAAATCTTGATGGGCCACTTAGAGAATATAAGGCCATAGACATGCAGGACCACAATGTGGGCAGGTGAGGATTTAGAAAGATTAAGAGGAGGAAGAAAAAATGTTTTGATAATGTATTGAAAATGAAGTAACATCAAAAAGACACATTTAAAGTGTCAAGTTTTGATAAGGGAAGGAAAGGAACTCATTTATAACCTGGGCCATGGACATGTCACATATATGGAAAGCTCAGGTATGAACTTACATGTATTGGCTTGAAAGTCTGTGTAAAGATGTTTATACCTTTAAAAACATGATTTGATAGAAATGAAGTTGGTATTAATGTTATGGTGATTTCAATTTGAATTGAACAATGATTTATTGACTATGAAATGTATGTAAATTATCTTGTAGGTCCCGTTGTGACCACAGGTTTGAATAAGCTGCATGCTCTTAACCATTAACAGCTGGTAATTTAGCAGAGGAAATAAAATCATGTGTAACAATTTTACTATGTGGCAGACCATGATAAATAGGCCTTGAGAATTTAGGGAAGAAAATACTTGGTTCTGGGTGGAGGGAACATATTAAAAGACACTCATGAGTTCTGTAAGAGAGATATCTGAAGAGCAGGGACATTCAAAATGTAGAACTTCTCTTTTTATTGTTCCTTTATTAATCAGGCTTTATTGATTGTTCTATTGGATGCCAGACAATACCCTGTGAGATGGTGGGAGGAAGGATGAGTAAAGTGTGGTCTCTGCCCTCAAAGAAATGATAGTGACTATTCTAGTCTAATTAAATTCAGGGGTTTTGTAGGCATTAGAGAAATGAACGACACCAAAACTGAGCCCGAAAAATTCCAAGCTGCTATGAATTTACACCTGATATGAATGCATATAGTTGAGTTCATGTGTATCAGTGCCAATTGAAGAAATGGAACTTGCTTGAAATCACTTTAATGTAGAAAACAATATTTATTAAAGGGTAAGCAATAAAAATGTGCTAATGTTAAGCTTATTTGTAGATTAGTGAAACTCTGCAGTAACCAGCAATTGTTTAAAATTAAGACCATTAAAATAGTTTTTTCATGGAGGAATAATTTACTGCTAATATACTTGAGAGTGGCCGGTATGGGGAGATAATACAAAGCAGATGAAATGCCTCTCTTTATACCCTGTACCCAAGGACAGCTGTTCCTTTGCCCCAGCCTTCATTTGCCACTGAATCAACTGCATTCTTTCCGGGTGTACTTTTTTTAGTGCATGTTCATTAAAGTCTAATCTGACTATTTCAGGTACGTAAGTGCTGCTATCATGAGACATTTGTATTCCTAAAAATTACTGTACAAATCCACACAATCAAGATCTTAGGGCTCATGGGAAAAATGGAGTTAGAGGCAAAATATTAAAAAACTTCAGTGAGACATAAAAACGATAGGGATCTAATAAAAATGGTAGCAGAGTTTACACATTTTAAATGGTTGAAAAATAGATAAATAGCTCTCTATGGCACTTTACTTTGACATAGACCTGAAGTTTACTTGGCAGAGGACCTCAAAGAGTTGCAGCTGAGAGCTACGGTGAAGGGGTGAAGGGAGGGTTATCCAGAATCAGTGGGAAAGCTGTAAGGCAGATGTGGGCAGGTGTGGCTCCCACCACTCATGATGAATTGAGATAACTTGTGGATGTTTGAGCCTGTGCGTTCTCCATATGCCTGTGTCTTGGTTCAGTAGAGTGCAGTTTTATGCCTTCACCTTGCTTTTCTTTGCTGATGAAATTGCGCATAAGTGAATGTGAAATTTACGTTACGCTTACATTGTTTCTTAATATATCAATCTCATTAGAACAAATTTGTGTTTTTAAAGCAAGCGTTATAGCAGAATGCACCATAATGTCACTTCAGTTGTGAGTGGCAACATGATGAGATACAAAGCCCTAAATTCCCACGTGTGGATTAGAGAACAGGCCTGGCACTGGGAACACACATGGTTTCATGCCAAGCACACAGTCCCCATGGTTTAATGCCAAGCACACAGATCCTAGTACTTTTCCCTCTCGCGACTTGAGTTCAGAATCTTTTTAAAAACAAACTTCCAGAAAGCTGCTGACAATCAATAGAAGTTTTGCATCAAAAAATGAAAAACTGTTTTGCCATCATTGATGGTGGAAAAAAGCATAAAGTCTGAAGTCATTTAGACCTGGATTCCAATTTTGGCCCTTAACTCCTACTTGGGAGTGTGTGTATTGAAGAGTTACCTAAATGTTCTTGGCTTTTGTTCTTTCAACTATAAAACTGAACTGATAATTCCTGTCTCAAATGGGGGTGGTGAGAATGAAATAAGAACATATGGACCTGAGACTGTGCCTGCATCTGTGGGCCTTGAGTAGTTTCCTTGAATGTCCTTTGACAAAACAAAGAAGTAAACACATGTAGCTTGAGCCTTGGATTGGGAGGAGAAGGTAAGATGGAGGAGTGTCAGGAAACACCTAAGTGACAATGACCATCTCTCTTTCAGGGTGCATGCTTTACCGACGAAGACAGACCAGTCTGAGTGGGGTATTACCCAATCAGAGACATGTGGAACATACTGTCTGGGCTCACATAGCAATTCTGGGTGAGATACAGATCCACTGAAATTTTGCTTGTCACTTCTTGTCATCTGCCCCAGCCACCAGGCAGTGCTCTGTAGAACTCAGCTTTGAACAAAACATATTAGCTGCTCCCCATGGCAGGCAGGTATATATGAGATGGATTTTAAAGCTAAACTCAAAGAGGCCAATGGAGAATGCTTGGTTCTTCTCTCTCTAAAATGTCGATGATTCACAGAAAGGGAGAAAGCTAAATGCACACAAAATAAGTAGGAATTATAATACTAATGCCATGTGAAAAAAGTTACTGTAGGAGATGAAAAATAAAATATTATGAATATGGTCATTTAAAGAATGGAACACTTCTAATAAAAATATGCATAAAGAATTAATAGCATTAATATGAACCAATATATCAATAGGTATTGACAAAGATTCTTTGCTTTACCAAACTTTATCCACCTGCTGAACATTTACCTCCTCCCCTTGCTAAGTCAGTTAAGCAACACACCCCCCCATCTGTCTTCCATATCTGATCACCCTCAATACCCAATTGGTTTCTTCTTCCTTGACCACGCCTGAGTGTCCTCTGATCACTCTAACCTGTCTTCAGCAAGAATTCTCTTAAGTCAGTTTAGCCAGAATCACCCTATGCCCTGATGTTTCCTTATAGTAATTTTCCACCCTCTGCCCCCACCATGTTTCTTGGCTATAAATGCCCATTTGCCCAAGCTGTATTTGGAGCTGAACTGAGATCTACACTGAAATATTTTGGCCCCTGTGGTAACAGTCCTGAATTAAAATCTGTTTTTACCACTCTAAAAAGAATGTTGATGGTTGACATGAACCTCAGGCATGGTAGACTGAAGATGAAAGGTCATAATCATTCCTTAATATCACAAAAAAATCAAGCACAGGATAGGGAAACTCCTATTTTATTCAAAAACCAGGAAAACCTACGCATTAAAATAATTTTAAAAGATGCTAATGAAAGGTAATCTGCATATTTCTTTCAGCTAGTAAAATAGAGACCATTTTAAAGCTAATTACAATCTGGCAAAAAGGTGGGTACTCTTTCTCTGGGATGTAAATTGATCAGCTACAATTTTTGCTATCAAAGGCACCACATTCAGAAGCTTTAGTCCTCATTCCAGAGGCAGAGACCTTTCTTTTGTAGTGTAATCTTTAGACAAGGAGATTCATGCCTACAAACATATGCACAATAACAAAGCTGCCCAGGAAAGATGAAATAGAACGTTGGCAGAGCGCAGTGTTGCTTCTGCCACGGCTACGCCAGCGACATGACGCCTACTGGAATCGCTGGCTAAGACACTATTTCATTTCAGAGGAATTGAGTACCAGTGAGAGTTCATGTTCTCATTTAAAACTGGCAGTGCTGAGTTAAAGTCAAATAAAAGTCAGAACTCTAGAAAAGTGTAACAGTAAATTTTTTCTGTTCCAAGCTAATGCTAAGGACATATAAATTCAGATCAAATTTAACCTGAGTTTAAACTAAATAGGATGTCAGATATGTTTTCATTTGATAAAATATATACTACTGATGAGGACATTTATTATTATTTTTATTATTTTACTGTGAAAGTGGCAATTTTCAATTATTTTAGGCAACTGCACTTCAGTAAAGGGAAAAGGGAATATAGTGTCACTATCTGATTTTTCAGCCAGACAAAAAAATTGTGGATTGTGTATCTGGCGGTATAGAGAAATACTTCCTAGTCTGTTCAAGCCATAGTTCTTTCAGAGTGTGGAGTGGAGCCATACTCCCATCTCTGTTTGAACAGTTAAAGGGCAGAAAGTCACCTGGAAGCTGGGGTGTGTTTGTAATAAATCTCCGGGAGTACACTGTTTGAATATTCCAATGACTGCCCAAGAGTCTCTGTTTCATTTTGGTTTCTCTTGTGTTGCATACAGTTCTGATTTGGTAGTAAGCTAGCAGATTAGTCTTGTGGTTGTGTCAAGGTGGCACCTTTAGCGTTCCATTTTGAATATTTGACTCCTGCTGGAAGATGTTCTACTTTTTTATATGTGGCATATATTTTAGACTTACCTTCTATTTCCTATAATCTCTTTTTTTCAAGTTGATCTTTGCCATCTGCTCACAGTGTACACCTGTGCATCGTGTTCTCCTAAGAGGAACTATTTATTGCCTATTCCTATATATTATGGCTCTTTTTTGGGATGGAAAACCAATTGACATTGATAAGTTATCGCTGATTAATGTTGATGTTAAAATCAAGTTTTGCAGCCAATATAGTGAAATAATTTGCATAGACTCTAATTTGTGAATTTTTTTTTTTCATTTGAATTTTTAGTTAAAAATGATTTCAGGTTTGTCTGCTAAGGTTGATATTGTTTTTTAGAATTCACACTTTACTAGTTAAATTTAATTTACTTATATTATTTTTTTTTTTTTCTTTGCCAGTTATTATAATTATTCTATGGTTTTATCTGATATATCATTAATTACATGCTTGCCAGGTCTTGTAGATTATGTAATTATTTACTAATTTAATTAATTTTCTACACAGCACACAGACACACACACGCACACAGACATTTTTTTCATTTGTTGTCTGCTACTTTCTCATTTACTATTCACCTATCTTTGTAGGTGTCATTTCCTGGCAGCTACCATTTGTTTTTTTTTTTCTCTTCTAAAGAAGATGACCTCTGGAACTTTTT